TCGTCAACTTGGCCTCCAACCAAGGTACGTGAAGATATGGCATACGCTTTATTTGTGCTCCATTCAGCTATAGTGGTCCTGGCACAGAGGAGGATCCCAAATCCTGTTGAAGAGTTGAGAAAAGCAAAATCATGGGACCTGATCTGTACCTGGATGGTGATCACGCCATCCCATACGAAGCTTAAGACTCATCATTCTCAGCCTGGATCAGCAGGCAGCCAAAGGTGAGAAGGGTGATCTCCTTGCTTACCATCACCCCTGTTCCCATCCCAGCCGCCAAGGTGAATGCGTACTGGGGCCCAGCCACTTCCATGCATGGCCACTTCCACTACAGACACATAAACACAGTTGTCCTTTCATCTTCTATTCAACTACGGCTAATTATGGTCTCAGTGTGGGATCTGAACACCATCTGCTCGTTTTGATCTCTTCATTGGAGATCAAAGTGTCTGGTAAGAGGCTGATTTTTTTTCATTTGTGTCACGTATTTGTGGACACCTATGCACTTCCCGTTGGAGGATTTTTTTCTGTGTTATTGGATTTTGGGACTTTTAATTATTTAATATATGAATGTGGACTTATATCATTTCAATTAATTTATGCACATTTTTAATGTAGCAGCATTTATTTGATTATTTAGTGTACAGCCCACTCATTTAGTGTACAGCCCACGCTATCAGTACTGCTTGGACCCTGAAGAAGGGGACACACCCCAAAAACTTGTCCTGAAAATTGTATGTTAGTGCAAATAAAAAAAGTATCACGGGCAATACCATTGTTTCCATCAAGGTGGAGATCTTTTCCAATTTTATTGAGTGGGACATGGAGACAGGAAGAGCCTGATTGTATCGACACAGGAAGTGATACCACAAATGGGAAGGAAGTGGTGTCAGATGCAGACAGGAAGTGAGGTCACTTAGGAACAGGAAGTGATGTAGGGGTCTAAAAAGGAAGTTCTGGGAGAGAGGTGAGTTGGGAGGAAGTAGAGAGAAGACAGAGTTGGCAGTAGAGTATTTTAAACTTCACCCTGGAGATCATCTACTAGCTGACAAGGGAGGTGAGGAGGATTCTGGGGGGGTCACATGACATCATTCTCATTTCTATTAATAAAACACAGACCTGACCGGAGAGGTGAGGAGGATTCTGGGACGTCACATGACATCACTCTCATCTCAATTAATAAAACACAGACCTGACCTGAGAGGTGAGGAGGATTCTGGGAGGTCACATGACTTTATTGTTGCTCTTCCAATGCAGAGTTTTCCTCTGGTGAAGTCTGGTGACAATTTAACCACTACAGTGCCTTCACCTCACGTTGGGAAAACCATGAGAAGAAGATTCTAGAAGTCACCCAGAAGATCATTGATCTGCTGACAGGAGAGGTGAGCGGTGCCGGGAATTCTGGGACATTCTCCAGTAACAGACAAGGGATGTGTCTGGATGGTGACTGTATCATTGTGTGTGTCAGGTTCCTATAAGGTGTCAGGATGTCACTGTCTATTTCTCCATGGAGGAGTGGGAGTATTTAGAAGGACACAAGGACCTCTACAAGGACATCATGATGGACAATCAGCCGCCCCTCACATCACCGGGTAAGAGGAGACTTTATTGTAAAGGAAAGAGCAGTATGGAGGGTCCACCTAGATCCCCCTTCACCTGATAAACACATAGAAACAATGGATTCGGTCAGTGTGTGTGTTTCCTACAGAGGGATCCAGTCATGGGAACCCACCAGAGAGATGTCCCCATCCTCTGTATTCCCGGGACTCCACACAGGAAGGTCACACCATCCCTCACCATCATCGGGTAGGTGGGATTGAGCAACCAGAACAGAATTCTTCTATCTTCTATGTAATCTTTTGCTTTTTCTTACAATAGTATTTTTTTATCATCTTTGGGGTTTAGGGTGAAGAACTGAAAAAAATCAAAGCTGAGATTAAAGAGGAAGAAGAAGAGACGTTGGTGAGTGGAGCTCAGCAATCTAAAGGAGGAGGTTGTCCTCTGCATTTAAATATAAGGTGCAGCGCTATACCTAAGTGCACTAAATAAATAAATATAAAGTGCAAAATATCTTTTCAAAGTGCTCTAAATATTACCACAAGGTACTATACTTTATGTGCAAAAATACTGTGCAACCCGTGTATTACACAAAAGAATACAAATAAAGTGCAATTAGTGACAAACCAAATCACTGCAACATTTGTTATACTTATTAATGAATCCAAATAAATAGTTTTTATAAAATAAATAAATAAAAAAGTGTCCAAATGCAACAAAAACACTTTTCAATCTTCATGCATGTGTCACACGTGTCCACACTGTGTGAATCCAAACTTTTGCCGTGATGGCCCCTCACCTCCTTGTCACGACCCCACAGGGTCAGCTCACTTAAAACAGGATACCACTTTTTAGTAGCTCACCAGGGCCTCACCCGCCTCTTATACTCTCTCAGCAGTCTCCACGATTCATATACAGACACAAAAGAGACTCACATAGTGTAATCCTGTTTTAATTTGTGTATTAAATGTAAAATAAAATTGCCCACTCACATTTATGTTCATCTCCTCATAAGCCTTCAATCCCCCATGCTATGAATCTCCTGCATGGGTATTTCAATAGAGGGATTTCAAATATGGCCGCCACGCCGGATGACGTCACCACGCTCCCAGAATCCTCCTCGTGTCCTCTGCATTGCTGCAATCCCACACAGGAAGATCACACCATCCCTCACCATCATCAGCTAGACGAGAAAAACATAAATGTGACTCTGGAATGTCCTGACGTTTTAAAGGTGTTTTTTGTTTTTTTTTTTTTGCTGGTGTAGCATGGAGAACAGATGTATATGAAAGTTGAGTTTAAAGAGGAGGAAGAGGTGATGACTGTGATGGGTCATCAGGAGTCTATGGATGAAGTTGGGATGATGGTGACAACTAAAGAGGAGGAACCTTCTCTAGATATCAGCACAGGTGAGTAATGAACACTAAATACAGAAACTGTTCAAGTATATAGATTGATGGTGGAGGATCTGTAGACCTTCACATCAGGTAATATAATCTCTACAAAGACGTCATGTTGAAGAATCAGCCGCCCCTCACATCACCGGGTAAGAGGAGACTTTATTGTGAAGGAGAGAGCAGTACGGAGGGTCCACCTAGATCCCCCATCATCTGATAAACACATAGAAACAATGGATTCGGTCAGTGTGTGTGTTTCCTACAGATGGATCCAGTCATGGGAACCCACCAGAGAGATGTCCCCGTCCTCTGTATTCCTGGGATTCCACACAGGAAGGTCACACCATCCCTCACCATCATCAGGTAGGTGGATTCGGTGATAAGAGTAAAGAAATTTGTGATATGACATTCTTCTATGTATTCTCTTGTTTTATTGCTTACTTCTACATCTGAAGTGCAGCTCCCCACACTACTTTTGAGCACCCTACACCCCCCCCCCATTTTGTTTTTTTTAAATCAACATACATTCCCTTCTTCTTTCGATCTTAAACCAAGTCAAATGTCATCATGGGTCCAGCAGACTGATAAGCTCACCTCTCGGTCACTCTGCTCCGTAGCACAGCTGATTGGCTCATTGTTGTGCTTCTCCCTCTCCCAGTCTGAGCTGTTATTTACAGATATTGCAAGAGCCTGATACCGGGTCCCATTCAGAAATTTACACTGCTTACATTTATAAAAAAACACATTCAGTGATGTATTAATGATTACAGAACTGCTGTCATTTGTGTCTTATATATCTGCCTGGAGTTCGGCTTTAATAGATTTTCTATTTGAGGTTTAGGGTGAAGAACGGATTAATATTAAATCTGAGCTTAAAGAGGAAGAAGAGGAGATGTATGTGGGGGGGGATCAGCCGTCCATGGAGGAGGTTGGGATGGTTATGAAAAGTGAAATGGAAGAAATGTTTCTAATTTTTGACACAAGTAAGTACAGGCACTATGGAAGAAACGGGTCACAGTCTCATTTTACTTCTGAGTATAAAGTCTGTAGTTGAAAGAAAAATGTTAGATAATAAACAGATCTTCACATCATCCTGGAGGCAGGCGCTGAATGTATATATATATTATAACGTCATGTCCCCAACAAATGAGGAGATACTGGACACCATATGAAAGGTCCATCTCCATTCCTCAATATAACATCATGTTCCCAACATATGAGGAGGAGATACTGGACACCATATTAAAGGTCCATCTCCATTCCTCAATATAACGTCATGTTCCCAACAAATGTGGAGGAGATACTGGACACCATATGGAAGGTCCACCTCCATTCCTCCATATACCGTCATGTTCCCAACAAATGAGGAGGAGATACTGGACACCATATGAAAGGTCCATCTCCATTCCTCCATATACTGTCATGTTCCCAACAAATGAGGAGGAGATACTGGACACCATATGAAAGGTCCATCTCCATTCCTCCATATAACGTCATGTTTCCAACAAATGAGGAGATACTGTACACCATATGAAAGGTCCATCTCTATTCCTCAATATAACGTCATGTTCCCAACAAATGAGGAGATACTGGACACCATATGAAAGGTCATCCATTCCTCCATATAACGTCATGTTCCCAAGAGGAGATACTGGACACCATATGAAAGGTCCATCTCCGATCTAGAGATCAGCATTTCTACTGATGGGGAGGAGGAGCTAAACTTTTGTGAACTGACATTTTTGCTTCTTCCATTTCTCTCCATCAGATGGCGCTGATGTCAGGACTTCCTCGGAGAGATGTCTTCAATTATCTGCTGATTGGAAGTCAGAAGATAATGCCATCACACAGGATTCTCCAGGAGTGAATCCAAATACACCCAATATCCATCACAGACCTTCCTGTCCGAAGACATCAATGGATCCCTCTGATCAGGGGGAATCTTCTGACCAATCACATACTAGGAGTGCAAATGTCCATTTAGGATCTCACACTGCAGATAGATCAACAGATCCATCTAATCCCAAGGAATCTTCCTCACCCCATCAAAAAGTTCACCGAGATGAGAATCTTTTCTCGTGTTCACTGTGTGGAAAATGTTTCACTCGGAAAGGAAAACTTATTCAACACCAAAGAGTTCACACGAGTGAGCGCACTTTCCCATGTGCAGAGTGCGGGAAATGTTTTAAACATAAACAAAACTTAGTTACACACCAGAGAATTCACACGGGTGAGCATCCTTATTCATGTTCAGAGTGTGGGAAATCTTTCACTCATAAAGGACACTTTGCTAACCATCAGAGGATACACACAGGCGAACGTCCCTTTTCTTGTTCAGAGTGCAAGAAATCTTTCATCTGTAAAGGAGACCTTGTTAAACACCAGAGAATTCACATGGATAAGCGTCCATTTTCATGTTCAGAGTGTGGGAAATCTTTCATTTATAAAGGAGACCTCGATAAACACCAGAAAGTTCACACAGGTGAGCGTCCCTATTCATGTTCAGAGTGCGGGAAAGCTTTCATTTGTAAAGGAGACCTTGTTAAACACCAGAGAATTCACACGGGTGAGCATTCTTGTTCAGAGTGCGGGAAATCTTTCACTCGGAAGGGAGAGCTTATTGAACACCGGAGAATTCACACGGGCGAGCGCCCTTATTCATGTTCGGAGTGCGGGAAATCTTTCACTATAAAAGGAAGCCTGGTTGCACACCAGAGAATTCACACGGGTGAGCATTCTTGTTCAGAGTGCGGGAAATCTTTCACTATAAAAAGAAGCCTTGTTGCACACCAGAGAATTCACACGGGCGAGCGTCCTTATCCGTGTACTGAGTGCGGGAAATCTTTCACTAAAAAAGAAGGCCTGGTTCGACACCAAATAATTCACACGGGTGAGCGTCCATATTCGTGTACGGAGTGCGGGAAATGTTTCAATCGGAAAGAAACTCTTGTGACTCATCAGAGAACACACACCACACAGAGTCCTCCATGTGTTCAGAGTGCGGGAAATGCTTTATAAATAAAGAAGTCTAATAGACAGCAGAGGGAAAGCAACTGTTGATTTTTTTCACAAAAGTACAATGGGTTTTCCTAGGGCGGGGGTCTTTAAACTTCCAACACAGGGTCGGTTTAATGCCCTTCAAATTTTAGAGGGGCCGGACTGCGGCCAGGCAAAGTAGAAAATACCCTGGCATCGGTGGGAGGAATGCCACAGACTTGGTCAGTGGGAGTAAAAAAAAAGATTACATCATTGGTGTCAGTGGGAGGAATAGTGCCCCATCGTTGGTGTCAGTGGGAGGAATAGTGCCCCATCGTTGGTGTCAGTGGAAGGAATAGTGCCCCATCGTTGGTGTCAGTGGAAGGAATAGTGCCCCATCGTTGGTGTCAGTGGGAGGAATAGTGCCCCATCGTTGGTGTCAGTGGAAGGAATAGTGCCCCATCGTTGGTGTCAGTGGGAGGAATAGTGCCCCATTGTTGTTGTCAGTGGGAGGAATAGTGCTCCATCGTAGGTGTCAGTGGGAGGAATAGTGTCCCATCATTGGTGTCAGTGGGGGGAATTTTGCCTCATATCGGTGGAAAGAATGGTGCCCCAGGGGCCAGATAAAGGAAAGCAGAGGGCCACATCCGGCCTGCGGGCCGCAGTTTAGATACCCCTGCACTAGTGGAACATATTACTCCATAGCACAACTGTTGTAAGAAAATATTTAATTTATATGGGCAGAGCATCCTGGCAAAAGTGATATTAAATTTATAGGTGGCGTTTGATGGGCGGAGTCTTCTCCTGGCTTCTTGTATTCTATGGTGTCTCCAATGGAGGGATGTTCCTGCTACAGTTTCTGCCCCCCACTTTGTGGTACCCCCCCCCCCCCCCCCCCATTTCATTTTTTTTTTCATTTTGCACACTTAGAAATCAAATCCGGAGAGCGGTAGCTCCTCATAAAGGTCCACAGGGATACACAAAGATATGAGCATACCAGGGGACACTTTGAGCCTCAGAATGTCCAAAGTGGGAGCATGTAGGCCCATCTGGTGGACAGCACATCACAGTACATGGGGGACATAGAAAATATTTGATTATTTTAGGGGGGGGGGTGTTTTGATAGTTATACACCCATAAGCAGACTTTCTCAACCCTTTCAACACAGAGGAAACCCTGAAATAACGTTCCAGGTCTCAGGAAACCCCCTGCTAAAAATGACTATATCTACAGCTCATAGGACATTAGTGTGGTGGTCATTGGGAAGAATTCCCCTGTTTACAGATCGCAAAAAATTCAATGGTGTCAGTGGGAACCTAACTCGGGCAAAAACTGGTCATTGCTCAAGGAACTCCTAGCAGCCTTGAGAGGAACCCTAGGGTTCCATGGAAATCTGGTTGAGAAACTCTTCCCAAAAGGATTAAATGATGGAAATGCAGTCTTCATATGAACCAGTATTGAGCCTCTCCAATATTTGCATAGCTAGTACCATGTACATTCACCGGCCGCTTTATTAGGTCCACCTTGGTAGTTCCAAGAAAATCTCCCCCATACCATGACACCACCACCAGCCTGAACCATTGATACAAGGCAGGATGGAGATTTTTTATTTAAATGTATTATGAGCATACATATCCATCCTTAACTTATATATAAAAGTAGAAAAATATAATAAATAAATACAAAACTAAATGAAGAAACTGAAAAAGTCCCAACATCCCCTGTGTGAGAAATAATAAACAAAGAAAATAAACTGAGCCTGATGGCCATAAACTCAAAGTCCAGCTCCTGAAACAGAAACCAAACACGTATAAATATATACCTATATGTACCTCGGCCTATATGGCCATTGTCCAAGTCCTGAAAAGGAACCTCAAAATAATGTCCTATAGAGCCCAACATTAAAGTCCATAACCTGGGGGAGAAAAAAAAAAAACCCAAACTATATACAATATATATATACAAGGCCTCTACGGCCGAGACCCAAAAAATTATAGAAAAGCCTTTATGGCTCAAAACATGAAACAGAACCATATGCAATTTCCATATATATCCACTGCTTACGGCCTATATGGCCTAACTATACACAGACCAAACTTAACCTCACTATTATGTACACCACGGGGGAGGGCTAAGGAACCCACAGATCTTCCACGTCTGACCCCTACAACCTACCATGCAAAAGGCTACCAAAAAGACCTAAACACAAAAGCTAGGGAGTGCAAGAGGCAGAAAACAGGAACAGTTCCCATCACCCGAGATCAACAGACCGCAGCAACAGGCTTGATGTTCCTCCACGCCTCCATCCAAGCCCTACGCCGCAGCCTGTCTTTCTCAAGACCCCGAATTTTCCCAACCTCACCAAGGATGTCACTCACCACCATCTGAACAGGGAGGACCTTCTGCCGAATGGAGACCTGACACCGTGCCATCCAAGTGTAGTAACGGACAGCTAAGCTGACTAGAAACAAGGTGTCCAAATCAAAACCCATGTGACGCTCGAATGCTCCGTACACCTACTCCGCATACGACATGCGATGGAGGAAAGGAACACCCAGAGCCCCTCCCACCTGTTTATACACCTCTACGTTAAAGGGACACTAACGCAAGAAGTGGTCCATAGTCTCCACTTCACCCCCACACTCCGACTTCGAACAACCACGGTCATCCGGAGGACGGTACTTCAGGTTACCCCTCACGTAGAGCCTGCCGTGGAAGGCGAGCCAGGCCTGGTCCCGCAACTTCAGGGGAATCCGCTCCAGATTTATCAAGCGCAAACCCTCCCTCATAACATGGCCCGGGCAATCTCTCAAGGCCAGCGGTGCATGGAAAGCAGATGCCACAATCCTCTCACCCAGGAGCCTCCTGGGGAGGGACCAGACCTCCTCTGCAGTCACATACCACCGTCGGAGTAACTTCAGGCACGGGGCCACGTAAGCCAGGAGCTTACCATGCTTGACCCGCAGGCTTCTCACTGGCCCACCACTCTCCCAGCTGTACAGAAAAGGTCCAAACCAGATCCGGAACAGCCCAACCCATGCAGGCGGTCTCTCTGCCAGCATACTAACAAAGTTATGTTTCAAGAACATCAGAGAGAAAAAGACCACTGGGTTGACCATACCAAGGCCACCCTCCCGCCTGGATGAGTAAGCCACATCCCTCTTGATGAGGTTCAGCCTGTTCCCCCATAACAACTGGAAGAAACAGCTGTAGATCCTCCTATAGAGCGATTCTGGCAAGAGGCAAACAAAGATGACATATAAAAAGACGGGGAGCAAGAAAGTCTTGATCAAGTCAACCCTTTCCCTCAAGGAGAGCCGCCACCCCTTCCAGCATCTCACCTTGACCTCGGTATCTGACAGTTTGGTCTCCCAATTTTGCTTGCTGTAATCAGCAGGGCCAAAATTGATGCCCAACACTTTGATGTTTGGCTGAGGCACCGGGAAGGTGTCCGGGAGTGAGAAGCTCTCACCCTCCCTACCCATCCAGAGAACTTCACATTTGTCCTGATTGACCTTGGAACCTGATGCTTCGGCATACTGATCCATTACTGAAACCACCTCCTGCGCCTTGATATAATTTCTTCAGCCAGCCGATGAACCTCTCCTCCAAACCATACCGGTCCAGGAGATGCCAGAGGTACTCATAATTAACCCGATCAAAGGCCTTTGCCTGATCCACCGCCAGCAAGTACTTTCCCCATCCTTCAGCCTTACACCGTTCCAAAGCCTCCCGGACAGCTAACATCGCTGTAAAGGTAGTAATGCCCTGAACCGAGCAATGCTGCTGACGAGAAAGCAAACTGTCTGCCACTGACGACAAACGCCAGAACAAGATCTTCGCCAGAACCTTTCTATCAACATTGAGGAGGCTGATGGGGCGCCAGTTCTCAATAGCCGAAGGATCCTTACCCTTTGACAGGAGGATAACTGCAGGCTGTCTCATGGAAGGAGGGAGAGATCCCTCATCCAGACAGCTGTTAAACACTTCCGCGAGACGAGGTGCCAGGCAGGACTTAAAAGCCTTAAAGAATTCAGCTCTCAGACCCTCTGGCCCAGGAATCTTTTTTAATGGACAGACTATCAATCGCTCTGGACATCTCTTCCGCAGTAATCTCCCCAGTCAAACTCGCCAGAGGGACATCACTGTCCAGACCAGGCATGGATTCCAAAAAGCTCAACATCCTCGTCCGGTCAAGGTGCTACTCACCCAGTAAGTCCGCATAAAAGGACCTGGAGACCTCCAGGATCCCTGACCTGGATTTCGCCAGGGACCCTGTACTATCCCTCAGAGCAGAGATCGTCTTAACTGCTGCACTCGGTTTGCAATTCTGGAAAGGGTCAGGTGAGTGGTATTTCCCATAATCCCTCTCCAGAACCAAAGAAGCATGCCGACCATACTGGAATTGCCTGAGGAGAAGCTTCACCTCCGAGATTGCTCCCAAATCTCCACCACTAGAAACAAGGCGTTCGAGCCTCCTCCACAACCGCTGGTAGGCGTTACACCGTTTAAACTGCCGTCTCTTACCAATGGCCTTGAAAATCCTGCTGATCCGCACCTTGGTAAGCTCCCACCACTCCGACTTACTACCGCAGAAATCCAGCACCGTCTCCTGTGCCTGAAAGAACCACTCGAAAGATTGTCTCACCTCCTCGTCCTCCAGCAGAGACGAATTCATCCTCCAGATGCCCTTTCCTCTCAGCGGAGTGTCTGAAATATTCAAGGTGACAGACAGCATAAGGTGATCGGAAAACTCCACCGTCCGACACTCAGGTGCCGAGAAGGCAGAGTTCTCCTTCAAAAAAAATCTGTCTATCCTACTCTGGCTATTACCTCTCCTATAGGTGAAACCCGTGCCATCTGGGTGTTACGGATCCGCCAGGTGGTACCTCTGGCAGCCCACTAGGCGGAATCACCCGGAGCGTGGAGTCTAAGTCCCGGTCTGAGTTTTCACCAGGGCCCCTGATGGTGGGGATGGACTTGGAGCAGAACCAGGACCAGGTCACGACCTCCGAGCAATGCCACCAGTGTCAGAGGGAGCC